ATAATATATATATATATATATATATATATATATATATATATATATATATGATGTAAATATTCTGAATACATCCTGAGAATATATATAGCTATGATGCAGATGTTATCTAGTAGTAGAATATTGTCAGTATATGCGACATGATTTAGTATGATAATAGAATGTATGGAAAATTAAAACATTTATATTATACATTGTACAAGTTTTTAACTTATAAATTTAAACGATGTGTTAACCTTATTTTTTAATATTTTTTCACAAGATGGCATGGAGCGCGTATATTTGACGTCACTTTTCATCTTTTTTTGTCATTTTATTTGTGCTGTATCCGAGATTCACGTAAATGAATCTTTATATTTCTGTTTCAGCACACACTCACGGGCCACTGCGCAAAGGTGATGGCGGCGAAGTTTCTTGGCGAGCCGTCGAAAGTAGTTACGGGAAGTTATGATCGGACTTTAAAAATCTGGGATCTGCGCAGCAAAGCATGTAAGTGAATGTTATTTTATCTATTAAAGGGAAGCAATGAAAAGAACGGTGTTTCTCTTGGGACATCCGTTAATAAGGATATAATCACGATTACGAGACATTAATTTGCTAAGTTATTAAAATCGCTGAAAGATTAGCGATCACCGTCCTGGTACAAGGTATTCTAAGTATCTTACTACACTTACTACAAAGAGAAAGAAGGAATCGAGCTACCGTAAACGCAAAGATTCGAATTTCCACCGAGGCTCCAACCGGGGCTTAAAGCACTTTAATTAAACTAGTTTATGCAAAACAATTCTGAATCTCATCTGCGTATATTCGCCGACAATCGAGGTCTCTCGCCCAGTAATCCCGAAATCCCGAAGGGGGGGACTTCCTGCAGCGTGCAACGACGATACACACTTTTAAGGCGTGCGAAAGAAAATAAGCGGCGATTTCTTGCGGCTGACATATCGGGCTGCATAATGTTAATACGGTACATTCGTTCCGTACATTTCCGTCTCATAACTGAATCGCACGGAAGGTACGAGCCGAAAGTAATGCACGGCACTAGCGGTAATCACGTTGGCCATTACCCCTATTAGTCGTTGCATAATGCAGATACACTTACGAGCGCTCCAAGATAATAAAACAAACCATGCGAATCTGCATGGTCATTCATATGCATATTCCGTTGCATGTCGTACGCGGCTGCACAATGGACCACGCCACGCAAAATATGCCCGGCCATAATGCCCGGGCCCGGGCTTCGTACGAGGCGCGCCGGCATCAACGCCATAATGGCGAAGATTGGATAAAAACCGTCCTCCCCGTCGGCTAACAAACGGTTCGTTGCGTCATTCTGGATGCGTTAATTAAATTGATAAGATTCTTTCACGGAAGAACAGAGACTCTCGCCTCTCACCTGGCACCGATCCTCATCGGCACGGAAAACTCTTTATCTCGGGGATATTGACGCTCTTAATAGATGATCCTTGTGGATAATGGAAGGGATTTCGGAAAAAGTTGCAACCTGATGGTCGAATAAATACGTTCGGAGATAAAGTGCGGAAGGGGGCCGAACGGGGGGTAACCCGATGACTTTAATGATTCTTTCCTCAAATGGCCTCGAAGTGAAAGCACCGCGCGAATTGATGCGGATAACAAAGACAGACTCATGTAATCTAATGAATGATCTGCCAGAAAAGAAAAGCGAAATTAATCACAAATCCATTACTCGTGGGGAAAGAGTACCGTCTTAATTAGCTCTTAAACCAGAACACGGGTTTATCTAGGACAAGGTAGTATAAAAGATGGTTCTCTGTTATATTCAGATTTCTTCATTAATCAATTTCTAATGAATATTATTCACTGCTATTTTGTACCTGATGTCGAAACCTAATTTGTTTTTAAAATAAGAGAGAAAAATAAAATATGAAAAACATTATTTCATTATTTCTGATTTTCATTTTTTATTTTTCAATTTGCGTTATTCTTTATCTCTTATTTAGATACAATTTAAAATATATATATATATATATATATAGTAGTTATATATATTATTCAAATAGATCCTATGCAAATTAAAAGAGAGAAGCTCTTTACATAAGGTGTATTGGAAAAAAAAATATTAATATATTAAAATATATTAAAACTTTTAATATAGAAATCTTACTTCAATGTTCACATTCATATTTTTCAATTTAAAATGTATAGCATACATTTTTATAGAAATTTTAATATTGATTTTCCTGGTACGTTACATCTATTATGCAAAGAGCTTCTCCCTTTTGATCTGTATAGGATCTGTTTGAATACAGACGGCATGAGAATTATACCCTCCAGTACATGCATTCACATCCTAGTTTTCACTTCGAATACGGTCGCCATTAGAAGCCCTTTTGTCCTAGAAAGTTCACGCGTTGTATGATCTAATTTCACGCGACAACTCTCCCACAGTCGGGTGTGAATAATCGCGAACCGCCGGATGCGATAGACGAGTCCTTTTCTCGCAAACATTATTATCGTGACCTTCGACTGGCAGGTGTTGGACGAGGGCTATACCTGTATCCGCGTAAGGGTCTAATGATGCGGCTTCCGAGCCATTGAAAATCGTCACTGTGGCCAGAATAGCAACACGATAATTCCACGTCATTCAAGGGCAAATGTATCTCCCCCTTCCCAGAAAGCTCTCTTTTCGAGCGGAATGCGCGAGCATTGCTGATCGGTGCTCGATAAAGAACGCCAGAAATCTTCGACGCGCTCTTCGGAAATTTATTACACTAATTGTCGAGGATCAGTGACCATTTGCTCTTCGAGCTAACGGACTTCGGCGTATCGAGTCGCGGCCCTTTCGCCCGTAAAATAGAGGAATCTTTCGCCGGCGATGGTTCGTGCGACGGTTCTACGGTGATAAGCGCGCCGCTCCGAAGACAGGGGGCGAAAGTGATAATTTACAGCCGGATGAAAGTGGAGCCATTCTCGGAGGTGGAGCCTAGATCGCGCGCCTCGCGTCCTCGGAGAAGGAAAATGTGGGGGCTTTAAGTGGCACGAAAAATAAATTGAGCGAGCCGCACGCAGACGGCCGGACGCGCGCAGATAGCGGCCACGGAGGATCTCATTTCCCGCATAAATGTATTCGGGATTTACATTCGACCCTGGCGCCGGACTAATCTTGTGAAACGGGGGGGGGGGCGCTCCATCTAAAGAACGAGAGTCCAGATATCGATTTACACTATGGTCAACAGGACTACGGAATCCTGCGGTGTGTGCACGGTAGCTGGTAGCCGAGGAATCGTATTGACAGAGGACACAAAGCTGCAGAGACTGCTTGATACGATGGCGCACGGGCAGTATTAATTTGCAAAGTCCGGAAATCGCCTTAAACCCGACCTTTAATTACCGTTCGCTCGGCGCGCGGAATAACAATTTGTGTTATTAACCGACGTGTATCGGTAACAACTACTACTCGCCGAATTTCAATAAATCTCGCCGGGGGAATATCATTATCCGTTAGATACGTAATAAATAATGTAATATGTGCTTTGAACCTTCCGATGAACACCGATATCTAGACATATAATATACAATATTTAGATTATTTTGTTATATTTAGATTATGAGATTTGAAAGATGAATGAGATTTATTTATTTTTTTGTTTTTCTTTTTTTTCGTTTTTTTTTTTTTTTTTTTTTTTTTTTTTTTTTTTTTTTTTTTGATGAAGCAGGATTAGTCACACTAGTTCATTTTATGTTATAGCAATTGATTTCACCTACACAGGAAGACCGACGCACAGTTGATGATGACAAATTTCAACAACAAAAGTCGTTAACTTGCTTTTATTTCATCCTATTGAAACACTCCGGACAAAAATTGCATTCGTACAAATTAAGTGATAAATAAGTGCGACTATAGAGAGA